GGGAGACCGAACTGTCCATTTAAACGAAAGGCTGCGAAGAAAAGCTCCGCAGAAAGTGAATATTATAGAGTTGATGTTTACCTTCGACAATGAATTTTTTGCTAATACTCGTTTAACCAATTACAGTTGCTCAAATTCTATCAAAGTCATATAAAATTTCTTGAAAGAGGTTCCAAGCGTGAATCATCGGTATTACGCAAATAATATAATTATTTGTGTGAACAAACATGAGTACAAAAAATTTTAATTGTCAAACCTTTTCTTAGTCATTACTCATCACTTTTGCACTGTATACGTAAACGAAAAATTAAAACAAGCAATTACTGATTATTGTAAAGAGTTATAAATAAAAAGGCATTCACGCGTTTATATTTTTTGTATAATTTTATTATTATTATTATTATTGTGTTATATACAGTAAGGGCAACAAAAATTTTTAAAATCAATTATTTGCTATCAGTGCATTGAATGGACTTGGCTGCGGTGTCATGTTCGGGATTGCGCCAACTATTACTAGCGAGTGGTTTGGTGTGAGGAGGTTTGGTTCCAATTGGTAAGGAAAATAATACATGACCTGATTGATTGGTTGGTTCGTATGTGCGACAAAATGCTCATCTGTCAATACGTTATCTAGGGGATTCATGTCCTACGTAAGTACCAAAGGATAATTTCAGTTGATTATACTTTTCTTAATTATTAACCGATCCTGATTGTATGAACTCAGGCTCCAGCTATAGGTGGCCAATTGTTCAATCTTTTATTCGGCCTGAATTATGATTATCGTAATCGAAACAGCAAATGTTTAGGATTCTCGTGTTACAATGGAGCGTTCTACGCGAGTAGTGTGGGTAATGCTATAAGTGTGTGCATGACTTTGGGACTGTTAATGTGGCGAATAAAGAAGGATACGATTCGGTGGCAGTGGATACGTGAGACTGAAGCTATTCGACAAGATCAAGAGGATACAGTCATAATTGGTAGTGTTAGTAATGGAGAGATTGTTGGGGTAAATAGTGCGCACATTGTGAGTGAGGGTGATATTGAAAATGACGAAGGAGAGGTGGTAGTACATAATCAAAACGGATTTTTGAGTAGTGAAATTCGTGACGATAATTTGTTGTGAGGAGCTACTTACGAGCAAGGCGATATTTCGTTGAAAATCAAAAGATAATACGTAATGATTTATTATTCTCGCGTAGAAAAGGAAAAAAAAACTTTTTATTAAGGATAATGAAAATTTTTTTTCACAAATTGAGTCATCCTTGTTAAAACCCTTCTTCGAACTGCTAGGGATCTGTGCCGAAAGATCGTTATCAATCGATACAGATCTTGTCTTGACACTTACTTGATGATGCACCTTTAAAATTACTTTCAAGGCTTTCAAGTGAATAAATATAATTGTTTCAAAAA